CGCCAATTGTGACATAAGCTCACTCTAGGCCTCAAGTGAAACCCATATATACGATCTGCCTTTAAAGCTTATGGGAAAAAAAATACCCCGTTTCCAAGGACGCTCCAGTAAGTTACTTGATTCCTATTGTAATCAGCCAACTTTGCAAGAGCAAGATCAGGCCGAAAATGGCGTACTGCTGTGATATATTTCCGGTCTAAATAGACTACAAAAGCAGCTACTCCCTCTCGTTGGTGATGAATTATTTTCTACCATAATGTCTCCTTTCCCACAGATGAAACTTTGCAAGCTTCTGGATGATCTATCGCTATTTCTATGGAAAATGCTCAAAGGAGCAACATTACCTGGTCCCACCAACACTAACGCTGCCAGCTAAAACCCACCACCTAGGTTCCACTGAAGCGAACCCCCTATATTCCGTTCGCATTCCGATAGTGTAAAGTAAGTTCCACTCGAAGAGCTTCTTCCCACGATCACGGTACTTTTTGGAACCGACTCCCAAGAGGATAGTTTCTTGATCACTGAAACTTCTGCAAATCTGGGCTTATCTATTCTTTTCCCCAGATATCCTCATAAATTATGCGTTTTATCTCTAATCTACCAACTCGCACAGGTATTTCCTTCCTTGATCCTCTAACTCATGTGATTGCTGTATAGGATGAACATTAGTAAATAAAAATAGAATGGCCAATAGAACTTAAACTAACACTCAGGCGAGACAAAATCAATGGTGAATATAACAAACAGGATATACTGAACACTAAATGCAGAGGAATAAAAAGCGAATTACCTACTTGACATTGTTACGCGAATGTATGAAAGAGGAAAAAATAAAGAGGCATATTGAAAAATCAACATCTATTTAGAACGAGAAAAAGACATGTTTAAAGGCTTTATTTACATTAATTAACCGTGGACTATTGTCCTTATATTTGTTCATGTTTTCACGAATTTTCAAGCGTTGCTCCTTCCGGCTTACGTCGAGTGATTGTCCATCCGTGTAACATTAACGTGTCAATAGCTTAGTCAATACAAGCGTTGGTTCGGTACTTTGGTGACATAGTTTTTGTGTGTAAGATCACTGGACCGCGCAGTATTTCCTTGGAAACGTGGGGATTGTTAAAGGAGTGGTATTAAAGACATACTTGAAATGGAACAGTGGAACAAGAACAATCTTCGCCCGTAGATTAAATGAAGGTTTCAGTTCAAAATTCAATGAATTAGCAATCGCCGTCTGAATGTTGGAGAGCACGACGACTGAAACACTATCATAACAAAGACGCATGCATATTATGATAATCCTGATCCCATAAATTTTGACAATTTTCTTTTATATATTCTGCCTCGTCATAGACGCTGTTTTCCCACGCCTTTCTTTTTTTGTATTAGTGTATTGTCTGGAAAAAAAATGAACATATTAAAATACATAAAAACAAAGAACACGTGACTATGACGAAAACGCCTAAATATCGCAGAGTAAATGTTTTTTTTTTTGTTTTTTTAATCCGGGGGATTTACATATAATTTGCTAGAATCGATCAAATTTTTATTGTGGAATGCTTAAACGAACCAATGATTTGATTGAAACAACGCATCGGAAACGAATATATTTTTTTCTTGTTAATGGTTTCTACTATTTATTACAAGCATACAAAATATTCAAACGTTGTAAATCAGATCAAGAAACAGATCATGAACGTAGGATTGCATCTTCTATATGCCAAGTATCCGTCACTTTTGTTATCCTCGAAAATTAAGTTTTTCTCTCTGTTTATTCCTAGAATGTAATCATTTCAATTAATTCGAAACCATGTCAACTAGCATGTTAAATGAGATCAGTCTATCTCTATTCCTCTTAGTACACACGCACACACACGTATTTATATATGACAAACTAGAAGATTTTATTTGTGACGCGTTTCATTCGTTAGTATTTCATCGGACGTCTACAAATGCGCACGAAACAAAAATGCGTCTCTCGCTTCGTGCATATATATATATATATATATATATATATATATATATATGTGTGTGTGTGTGTGTGTGTGTGTGTGTGTGTGTGTGTGTGTGTGTGTGTGTGTGTGTGTGTATTAATAATGCACCATCAAGAACTAAGCCTCATTCGACTGCGTGGAACTCGAAGGCAAAATAAGACAGCTAACGGTGTTCTTTCTGCACTTATATACAATATATTCTCCTGCACTGTTTGTAGACTTTTGTGCAGTTCTCGTGCAATTCGTTTGTACACACAAACACACACAAACACACACAGATATATATATATATATATATATATATATATATATATATATATATATATATGGGCAGCATGTTTTCATAGAGACATGTATCATTGAATAATTTAGACAAGTTTTGTTTACTTATTTTCAACAGGATCCTTTCATATTAAAGAACAAGCTTTCGGCTGTTGTTATTAAAAGAGATTTTGATACCTGTTTATACATGGTGTTTTTTTTATTCCGAGTACTTTCGACATCAGTATATGTCATCATCAGGGTGTTGTTTTTTAAGACAAAAATGTAGTCTTCATTATTTTGAAACAAAAAATAAAATGCTGCCTTCATATGAAAGTTAGTAATCGGAAAAAGTGACGTGGCAAAAAATTACACAAATTGTGTTTCATTTTTTTGACTCGAAGTAATTTTGACATAATTTAGGACAGTTTTCTTGACCAATGTCTTGTTGAAATGTGGATTTTTCGCAGCTCACAGTCATGTTTAAAAGAGAAAACTGTTATGTTAAAAAAATGCATAACGTCTTCACATTGAAAGCGTAGCAATCTTTCTGATATTAAGCGGAGAAGAAAGCTATATGCTGAAAAGTAAGAATAGAAAACGTATAGTTAAAATTCTCTAGAACTATTCTGAAAAGAAAACAAATTAGTTTAAAAATGACGATTGGAAAAAAAATTCTTAGTTTGTGCCGACGCGTTTTGTCTTCCGACTTTATCAAGGCAAGCAATGAAAGCAAAATATTTTGTTGTCATATTTACATCAAATCCAAAATTAAAAAAAAAACAAAAAAAACAAAAAAAAAACGTGGCAGCCAAGTGAGCCTCTTTCTGGATATTAGTAAATTCATTTTTACTAAGAGTTTAATTTTCGTTTTTTTCATGTCTGCAATATAGTTAAAATTTCCCAGAATAAATCTAATTAAAAATGTATATAATATAAAAAAATAGAAAAATAATGTCTATACTACAAATCCGCGCTAATCGTCGAATATTGTCTTGAAGATGCCTCGTCAGCGACTGCATGTTTGACATTGTGTTTTGGTTCATATTTTTCGTTTATCTCTGACAGTATGTCGAAGAGTGAATCTTTGAAGGTTCGAAATTATCACGGAACGGATGTTTGATTTCCCTCTCGACGACACCCAGATATAGGGATTTCAGCCATCGAAATCAAATTACACAAATCATATTTTGGCGTGACATTGACAGATCACAATCATGTTCTGGGACATGTATAGCTTGCGAAATCCATGACCGTCACAGATGGTGTGACGTTGGCGCATATCATAATGGGTAATCTCAGCGGGTTTTGCGCAGGAACAACTGATGTTTATATTGTTCACCAGACCATTTTCAAGAAACTTTTATATCTGAATCACCATGGATGACGGCTGGATACTAAAAGCTTGTCGTTTTTTATTTGTTACTTTCTTGTGATAAACTGTAAGCAGTCGTGATTATGTTTTTGATACGACTGAAAGAGAAATGAAAATGTACAATTATGCGTTAAACAATGATACTGACATTGTATCTATCTATAGACCAGTAAATAGGTCTTCTAAAATATCAGACATATCCTCTCTCAGTCTCTGTGTCGGTCTCTCTCTACCTCTCTCTCGCTTTCTCTCTCTCCCTCTGTCTGTCTGTCTTTCTCTCTCTCTCTCTCTCTCTATATATATATATATATATATATATATATATATATATCCCGTCTCCTTCCTCCAAAAGCACTATATACATGTCTTATATCTTATCCCTTTACGTTCCCCCTTTTTTTCCTTTTCCCCTTTTTTATCTCTTTTTTTCTTTTTCCCATATCATTTCCGTTGAGTTGACCGATTAAATAGGTAAATGTCTGACGCTTACCCCCTCCGCCTCAATATTAAGTATTGTAATAAAAATAAATTTTAAAACTGTCCCTTCACATTCTAAACTCGACCATGTCTCTCACACTATTCCTCACCGCCCTCTATGCCATCTTATATAAGCTTAATACTGCCCTTCAAAAGTGTAAATTTTAAATTCTCTGATGAAATAAATTATAAGTAATGGAGAACTAAATTGGTACGATTTTCTTTAAATTAAATTATATATATATATATATATATATATATATATATATATATATATATATATGTATATATATGCATGTATATATATATATATATATATATATATATATATAATAATCTAAAATTAAAATGGAGTGTTTTAAAAATAGAAATATGCTTACGCGATTTCCAGCCTTGCGTAAAATGTAAAGGCTCAGAATGGACGATCCTATTCAAAACAGCAAAAAAACAAAAACAAAACCCTCTTGAAAATAGCTAAAGAAATGGCCAAAAGCGGTTGAGAAAATTAAATTTGACTCCCTAACGCCTACAAAACGGAAAAATAGGTAAAGATGTTAGAAAAAAAAAGTGTGTGTGTGTGTGTGTATAAATGGAAGAGGTAGAATCTGGAATAAACAAAGATATATATATATATATATATATATATATATATATATATATATATATATATATATATATATAACTCATATCAACATCACCTGACAGATGGCCACACTATTGAAATACGGAATGGACATCAAATCATCTACACTATCGATTAGAGATTGCAACTCAAAAAGCTATCAAGAGAATCCTCTATATATAGTTAAAGAAAAATCATAAATTAATTGCCCTGGTTCAGAGCTAATTTAGTTAAGGTCTGCCACCCTGTAAGAGAAGTCTGGATTTATATA